CTAATGAGCCATGAATCCTTTGAGAAACCGTTACGGAGTATTTAAGCCATGGTGAGAATGTGTGGAATTTTATTAACCACAAATGAAAATGTGAGTTTTATTGGATATTTGTCAACTCAGTTTAAAATACAGTATCGTATAATTTCAGCGTAGGACACTGGGGTCAGAAGTGGCTAATATTGGGTAAAGACCCTCCGTTAGATGTTTTGTGTGTATTGTTGACTGTGTGCTAATATGATTAGAGAGAGAAAAGAAATAAAGTCCTCAAAATTCTACTAAGTTTAGCTTTCATGAAATCATCATGAAGGATTTCATGGGATGTCATCTGCTTTGTAAAGGGATTATGGGGAAAAATGTGTGGAGGTGCTGGATATTGGGGGAAAGCCTTGTGACCAAGGGATTGGTCAGAACTGAACATCACAAAACAATGATCATGGTTTCTAGGTTCAGCACAAATTAACTGTGAGGAAACTGGGCCAACTCAATATTTGGAGGATTCCCTTCTGAAAAAAAATAAAAAATAATAATGAAATAAAGATGAATTTTTTTTAAAAAAGGCTGAATTTAGTAAAGGCAAGTCATTTGCCTCTCAAAATTGGTTCCAAAATCTAAGGCTAATTTCTATGCATTTCAATAAAATTGTTCTAAGAGGCTTTTTATACTTAGTGTTCATGTTCCTACATACTATTTAAAATGGAACTGATCTGCTGCCAGAGCACCTTTATATGTACCTATAGTAGACATTGAATTTTGTCCTGAAAAAAACTTGATGGATTGTTTTAAGAGACATTGCCTTAAACACAGATGGAGTTACACACAGAGAACATTGTCTTTCTTGGGAAATTTACTAATCACATTTTTTCCATTTCTTTTTTATCAATTTAAATCTTATGTCAGTTCAACTAAGATTCCCTTGCTTAATGGTAATTTAGCATTTCTGGTAGTGACGTTTAATTTACTGGAATTTTACAATTAATTTTCAGTTGTTTCCTTAGAGTGGTCACTCAACAGAAAATTTAGTATTAGCCAATGTATGATGTAATATTCAACTTCCACAAAACGGGAGGTTTGGCTATTTTTTAAATGATTTTTTTAACATTTTTTATTGATTTATAATCATTTTACAATGTTGTGTCAAATTCCAGTATAGAGCACAATTTTTTACTTATACATGAACATACATATATTCATTGTCACATTTTTTCTCTGTGCGCTACCATAAGATCTTGTGTATATTTCCCTGTGCTGCACAGTATAATCGTGTTTATCTGTTCTACAACTTTAAAATCCCGTCTATCCCTTCCCACCCTAAATGATTATTCTCAACAATAGAACTACAAACAGACTCTAGCAAATAAATTAAGTCGTATTTACTGAGGCCGTGTACTGACGTGAGCCAATTTAAGCCTTAGTCTCAAGATCTAAGAACAGCCTTATCCACATGCATTTAGTGACCACATATCGAAGGCTATATTTGTTTTTGACAACCAGGCTTTGGGTTGGAAGCTTTGTCATTAACATTTTTAAAGACTGAAGAATATTTTCAAATTTTAAGAAAATGCACTATGATTTGTCCCCATTTTTGTAACCCTGCAGAAAAAAGAAGACAGCTTAAGGTAAAATGATTGATGTGATTTTTTTCTTCCCTTATGTTCTCATAACTTAGACAACACAAGTAGAGCCTTGTCCAATATCAGCCGCTTGGCAAAAGGTTTCATAAGGTTGTACCTGACAACAGTAAAACCTCATATTCCAAAGAACATTACCACAAATATTGAAGAGGTACAGGAGACATGGCTATCTTGATTTTATCCAAAAAAGGGAAAAAAATAGAATGAATTCAAGGATTTAAAAAACTGACTTACAAGTCACGCTGAGAGGAGTCCCTGATCCATCAGTCAGCTACAGTGATGCTTCGTTGGTGTAGAGCCCACAGCTTCATCTTTATCCGCTCATGTGGGGACCAGCTTCATCTTTATCCGCTCATGTGGGGACGTGCCTTGGGCTGCAGAAGCCAAACACGATCAGGTTGCAAATTTGTGCCACCTTCTCAGCCTGTGTGTTCAGTAAATGACTTGGCTCTTTTCACCTTGCCGGACCGCGCTGAA